GGTGCAGCAGGTTCTCCTAACAGCTGCCTGCTTTTGCTCAAAGCTCTGTGTACTCGATAAGCATTTTATCATGAAGATCAGAGCAATCTTATCTACTCTTCCTGGCAGACTACATCTAAACACAACCAACTCCTTCCTGGACAGAGCAAGCAGCTTCAGACTCCTACCCAAAGCTTGGTCCTTTTGGAGTGCAGCTCATGCTTCATGACCTGTAAAAGCAAACGTACTCCTGATGCCAGTACCTGTCCACAGCACGGCTGAAACTGTGCTGTGTCAAATATCACAGAATCACAGAACCACAGAACCGCTTGGTTGGAAAAGACCTCTGAGATCATCACGTCCAACCGCTCCTGTCTACCCCCTAAACCATATCCTTAAGTACCTCATCTACCCGCTCTTTAAACACATCCAGGGATGGTGACTCCACCACCTCCCTGGGCAGCCTGTTCCAGCTTCTGACGACCCTCTCAGTAAAGAACTTCCTCCTTATCTCTGACCTGAACCTCCCTTGGCACAGCTTGGTGCCGTTTCCCCTTGTTCTATCCCCCATCACCTGGGAGAAGAGCCCAGCACCCACCTCTCCACAAGCTCCCTTGAGGCAGTTGTAGGTGGTGATGAGGTCTCCCCTCAGCCTTCTCTTCTCCAGGCTAAACAAGCCCAGTTCCCTCAGCCGCTCCTCATCAGGCTTGTTCTCCAGAGCCCTCCCCATCCTTGTGGCTCTGCTCTGAACACGCTCCAGAATCTCCACATCCTTCTGATAGTGAGGGGCCCAGATCAAACCTTTGGGAGCAGCAGAAAGCAAGCAGAACACAATCAACAACCCCTTTGTCCATAAACGCCTGCAGCAAGAAGTAACCCTTTATTTTCTCTTTGATGAAAGTGAGAGAACTTTCGTGCCATGATCAGGACAGCTCGACTCAATGGTGGGTTTATTTCTTAGCTTTTACCTTACAATCTCTGCAAAATTTTCCTTGCTTGACTTGGCTTAAAATTTAAGGGAGGAATATGGACAGATCACTGATGACAACTGAGTCGTGTTGCTTCCAGTGCCCAGTCTGGGAGGTGTTAGGAGATACCCTGCCCTCCTCCTCTTCCTTTGGTCATCCCAGACCTAAGGGAATGACTGGGAACGTCACCTCAGCTTTGATGTTCTGCATATCCTGAGGTTGGAGTTGAGCTGGAGGCAGGGGAAGGAATAAAGTCTGCAAGCTGAAACTCAATTAGAGATGCATGGAGCATGTTTAGAGAGACCTGTCTGGGTCTCCTACCAAGAGCTTTGGTGATATTGCTGGTGATATTGCTGGATATTTGGTGATATTGCTGGTCTCTCAATGGCTTAACAGCTTCTCATAGCAGAGCTCTACTTGGGGGAGCTGACATTCTTGGGAACCTGTCCCACTCTCTTCAGGAGTCTGACAGAGAATTAGGAAAATGTGGCCACAGCATCAGTGGCCAAACGTGGAAATCTGGCTCTGCATCCAGTTGCGTACGTTTACACTCGCTTAGGTTACTGCCGCTATAATCCGATGCCTGTAAATGGAGTCGTGAAAAAGGATCTCTCCTACATAACCCTTGGACGTGTCCTTCCCTGCGCAGCACAGGGAGCTGCTGGTGGCTGGTGTAACAGTATCTGCACAAAGAGGAGACAGCTGGAGCGCCTGTGGCTCTGGCATCTGCTCAGCCAAGAGCTTTGGGAGTGATGTGGGAGCTGTCCCGGTCCAAATGTCTCCCTGTTCTTCTAAACAGATCGCTTGGGGTAGCTGAAAGACTCGCTGCTGTGAGAATGATGCTGTGGGAAGCCCGGGCTGAAGAGCCAGCACCACGACCTGCAGTGTAACATGGGTTATCCGGGAGGACGTGATAGGCAGGAAACGTCTGGTGTCTGTTCTTGTTCAGGCTCATGGCAAGAAATTGAGAGCTTTAAAGCTCCTCAGATTGCCTGCTCCGGATCATCACACCACGTAGTCTTGGGCGGGACTTGTGCAGACAGGCACTCGAGGCACGTTGCCTATATAGGACAGCCAGGAGAGACGCGGATCTCTTTGATTCTTACGACACCGCTTCATTTGTTTAAAGCTCTCTATTTTTAAGCCTCCTTTCCCCAGTACTAACTCCCTGTTACAAAGGCTGGATCTGTTCTGCTTCACGCAGCCTTCCTCTGGCATTTGACTTCCCTTCTCTCCGCAGCTCATTGAGTGGAACTAAAGAACCGTGGATTTTCAGAT